TGATTTCGTGCTTGATAGAGTTTTTAATTACAATGGCCGTGCCTCCACCTTTGAGACCACCGGGTCTGTCTGTTCTTATTAACACATGGTCTTTGAAAGATAATTTGTGTCTAATTGATAGTTTAGTTTCACTAATTAAAGCTATATCACATTTATTTTGATTAAGAAAATTAAGAAAGTCAAATCTCTTGTTAAGCGAGACAAGAGAGTTGACATTTATGGCGAGTATTCGGAGATGCGTGTTGACGCTTATGTTATTTGCCTGTTGGCTGTTATTGATGTTATTTGAATTAAACATAATCAAGGTCGAGATCAAGGCTTAGGCGCTCATATAAGGTATTAATACGACGAGTATTAGTGTCTATGGACTTCTGAATGCTTATCATTTTGCTGCTTATAGATTTGTCTATCTGTTGCTCAATGCGACTGATGAAGATCTCGAAGTTGAAGTTGTCTGTGTTACAATTGTTGTTTTGTTTTGTACCAAAAAGTGTATTACAAGTATCATTATTAGTATTCCAGGCGTTTGAATTAGTATGCGCTGGTTGAGAGAATCGCAATTGGTTTCTATTTGGGATAGTGTTCATTGAGTTATGAGTAGGTTTAATCGAGTGTTTTATATTCTGCGCGACGGTACTTGAAGTTCCGTTTACAAACTGATTTATTTTGCTCAGCCGTGCGAATTGCTCGTCATGATTTCTGTTGTGCCTTTCCGATTTCAGATTTTTTGCAAATTTATAGTATGGACAGCCCCTATACGAAGCAGGGTGACCTGTAGAATTACAATTAGCACAAATCAGCAGGCTCTTGTCACCCGAGTCTTTGGGTATTGGGCAATGACCGGGCTCGTGGTTTCTTGCACATTTAACGCAACGGAAATCTAGAGAGCAGTTCGCACTTGCATGGCCGACGCGTTGACAGCGAGTACACTGGAAAAGTGTTTGCCTTTTAAGAGGTTCCCAGTGTACTTTCTGGTAAGCTAGTGACTTAATCTTAACAAGATTGTTCGTGACGCTGTCATTAGTAAGTTGGATCAAGAAATGTTCTCTACTATTTGAATTCCAGTGTTTTTACAGTTAACGCAAAAAAGTAAGTTTTTATCGGTAGCATCTTTTGGGACTAGGCAATTGCCTGGCTCATGATTTTTTCCGCACTTGACACACCTAAACTCGAGTTCGCAATTAGCACTGGAGTGTTCTATGCGCTGGCAATTGGTGCATTCGAAAAGCACCTTCTTTTTGAGAGGCTCCCAACGAACTCTCTAGTAAGCTAGAGTTTTTATTTTAGTAAGGTATTGCCGGAGACTGTCATTGGACAACTGGATTAGAAAAAATTCCTTTGTATTTTTGTTTCTGTTAAAAGCAATTTTTGACACTTTTAGAATATTTATTTGCGAAATATTTAAATCACGTATTTCGTTTTCGATATCAGTGGTAGAGAATTCTCCCGCGATACCTTTAAGAACGAGATTCTTGGGTTTTTCATTTTTCGGAGTAAAAGTAAAAAATTCTATTTTATTTTCTATTAGAATATTGACGGTTTTTTTGAAAATATCGATTTTTGTAGTAAATATTGTGCAATCATTTTGCTCGGTTTGCTTAAGCGAGAATGAATTTTTAACCAAATTTGCCTGCTTCAGCAGGCTTACAAGATTTTTAATTTTATAATTACTCACAAAAATTGGCAGGGGGCGACCTTTTATGTGATCAGCATTTGTTGTTTCTGTGTTGGACTGCGCATCTTGAACGTTGAATGATGGCTGATGCCGCTGTGCTTTCTTGGAATTTAGTGTTATGACGCTGAGATGTAGAGCGACGCTGCTGTTGGCTGCGGGGAGGGAGCTGTTTGTTTACCTTTGTACGCTGCGTAATGGCTGCCGTTGCTGTATGAGTTGAGTAGCGTTGCCCTTGTGCAGGCAAAGATTTATGCAGCTGCGTGAACGACGGGGGCTGTTCGTAGTCTTCATCGTCCGTATCTTTATCCAGCAGATCCAAAAAACGGTTGGATGTTTGTATGCTGAACGCTTGATGTGTGTTGTTTTTTGTGGGAGAGCGAGTGAACTTTCTCGGCTCTTGCCATTCTTAATTGGGGGGGAACAAGGATAATAAGATTCAAACCATTTATTTTAATTACAATTTTATTGACTGATAAAAGTACATATTTTGAAAACACAGGTAGCGCAACTAAAAATACTAAAAAGAAACTATAAAATAATTATGTAGAAATAAAGCCAAAAGTAAGCAAAAAACTCCAGATCGGTATGTGAGAGAAACTTGAGACTACGCAGGAGGGGGGTCACATATTTACAAGAGGGGGTTTGATAATTTAACTTATCATATGATCGTAGATTGTAGTCAAAAAAATATATTTATTCTGTAATGTTCTTTGCCCTGCTCGCCTAGCCATAAGCAGCAGGGCACATTTAAGGACGTTCGGTAGTGATTGAATTTTCCAACGAATTTTTCTGAAATTTTGACCAGACGTTTTTATTGTTGTTACAATAAACCAGTCAAAATTTAAAGAGGTTCCTCTGTTTCGTTTTCGAGATATTGAATTTCAAAGTTAAGTCATTTTAACACTGTCGCTTATGGGAGAACTGACTAAATCACAGTTTTAAGCAAATTGGGCCAGTGAATTTGGCCAATTTTTTTATATGTTACAGATAATGTTATTAATTTGATGTATACCAAGTTTTGCGACGATCGTCTGATTCGTTTATAAATAAAAAATTAAATAAAAGCTCGACCGAAACGCAACGGCAACGTCGCAAGTGGCGGGAAATTCAAAATGTTCCAGGATGTTGATCAGTAAATATCTCAATATTATTGTAGATATTTATGCATTCACGCATAAAATACAAGCTTACGTGTGTGCGTGAGTGTATGTACAGAACGCCCACCCCTTCCCATAAAAAACAATAAATGTTAATAACACGCTATTTATTTTTTTTTTTTATTTCAAATTTATTATTTCTTCTTAAGATACAATTTTTTTGCACATTACAAAATCACATGCTCATAGTTTGAATCACTCATCTTAGAAATCATCCTACTTATCTGACATCCCATGCTGTATGAGACTTGTCAAGTCATTTAAAAATTCAAGTATTTTATTTACACTGGTAGCTCTTTTGATTAAAGGGCTTTGCCCATTTATTAGAAACGATCTTAAACCATCATTACCTTCCATAAATTTATCAACAATAATATTAAAATCTACTTTATTTTGACTTAGATTTTTAATCACTGTTTTGGGAATGATAGACGACATGGGGGAAAAAGTTGGCGAATACATTTTTTCATCAGAAATTCTTTGAATTTTCGCAAGAACATCTTTTACGGAAAACACGTTCGTTGAAATATCATCCCATGAAAGATATGTAGCGGTTAATTTTTCTAATAAATCAATATCAACTATTGCATTATGAGCGTTTTCAACAGACAATGTCAATAAGTCTTTTCCAAGATCTGAAAGCTTATGATTTTTCCTATTCGGAAAATGTAACAAATACTTACAGCTTTATCACAAAAACATTGATACACGAACGCTGTCGTAACCGACGCAGCACGCAGCAGACGAGCAGACAGTGTAGAGTGTGCAGAGACACCTGATGCGTGTACATGAACACTCACACATTTAAGACCCGTACGACGTTGCCAAATCTTCATTCATCGCTGGTTTCCCCTCACCGCGCAAATGTTTCCCCCCGCTAACACTACCGAACGTCCTTAATAAGTAAACTGAAGAGATAGTTAAAAAGATGTAGTGTTTATTATTTACCAAAAAGTACGAAAATTTGGCCAAAAATCCAATAAATGCATCGGCCGGGAATCGAACCCGGGCCGCCCGCGTGGCAGGCGAGCATTCTACCACTGAACCACCGATGCTCGAAATCCCATATTTTAGTGGTCTGGTTCGAGCAACCAACGCTTCGCAATTGTGCGCAAATTTTGTTTTCGTCACTAGTACTGCCTTACCATCTGTTGATATTCCACCAAATTGAAAAGTGGCACTATCAGAATCTTTGTTATCAACAAAAGGTATAATGATAAATAGTACATTATAAATGATAAAAAATATTGATAAATTACCTTACCAACTGTTATTTACTGATTGTCGATAATGACATAGCCTTCATTACCAGTAACATTGTGATCTTTGTTATCAATGGAGCACGATCATTTGCTGCTTCTGTCTTACTGATTGTCGATAATACCGCAACTTTTTGTCTGGGTGCAATGTGCTGATCCCTACCTATCCAACAATAAATTCCAATTACTGTTAGGAATGTGATGAAAAATTTCTGTAAGGCATGAAAGCAGTCTTCAAACAAATCCGCGGTAGTATAGTGGTCAGTATCCCCGCCTGTCACGCGGGAGACCGGGGTTCGATTCCCCGCCGCGGAGTTTTTTTTTTTTTTTTGCAAAAATTAGTACAACTTTGTTTCTGTTAAAAGCAATTTTTGACACTTTTAGAATATTTATTTGCGAAATATTTAAATCACGTATTTCGTTTTCGATATCAGTGGTAGAGAATTCTCCCGCGATACCTTTAAGAACGAGATTCTTGGGTTTTTCATTTTTCGGAGTAAAAGTAAAANCCGCGGAGTTTTTTTTTTTTTTTTGCAAAAATTAGTACAACAGACTGTTGCCAATATTTTTGTATTTGAATTTTCATTACATGACTTTACATACTACTGACAAACTAGCATTATATTTGATTTTTGTAAATAATTGACCTACACCATACTAATAATAACAAATAGAAGAGATTATGCAAAAGTATATTAAGTGTAAGTAAAGTAGTTTGTTACTAATATATTTTACATCGATTTTTATACTATTAATCTATTAAAAAAAAAAATAAAATGATCAAATCATTATGGGTAGAACAATCAGAGAATTATCAAGTGCGCGCGCATTTGAATCCAACAGAATATCTACGAGAATAGAGGGGAAGCAAAGCATGCAGTGACAAGATTATATAAAAGCTCGTTATGCCTTTTAGTAGCGGCAATCGATCATCAGAGCCTTAGGGATAAGTACTGCTTAGGGGATCCAGTGATTCAAAGTGATCAAAAGAATTTTCTTTAACAGTAAAAGGACAAATTTATGCAAGTTATTTTAAGGGTATATTTCTTTCAACGTATAACAAAGTGATCATGAAGTCGTTCTTCGTCATTGTAGTAGGTAAGTGATTAGTCTGCTGTTAATTTCAAATCACATTATTTGTATAAGAAACATATGTATGGGACTAGTTTTGTTTACTTCATGTTTCACAAGCTCCACAGATGTCATAGTTAAATTTTTTTTTTTTAACTTACGCCTGTAAAAAGCATGAAACCAAAATATAAATTCATCTTTGATTTCTAAAAAGAAGATAAGTAGATTGAAAAAAAAACTTGTTTAGCCATTGTGAATTTTGAAAGTTTTGAAAAGTACTACCGTCCATTGTCGCATGATGAAAAAATTTTTTGGGGTTTTCATTACCATAAAATTTCTCAATGGATACACATTATACGCATGACTCATCAAGTGCGATTTTAAACAATTGTCTTCTTTCCTATCATTTTCTCATATGTGCGGTGAACGTAATAACGATGCGATTTACCTTTGAATATGCACAAGTTAATGCCACGACAGTCAGCCCGGCTTTGACCGGTTACTAAGTTTAATTTCTTTTTATTCTCTTCGACTCGCTTGAAATTGTTGCATTTAGTATTTTCTACGCGATCGCACATCTCTTTCGACAATAGAATGGAAATTTTCGAACAATCCCCCACGTAGATAGAGCAAGCAATGTAAAGCCTCGTCATTATTTTCACGAATACAGTAAACTCTAATACTTTTACAAAGTCCACATGTGTCAGCCATTGATGACCTATATTATGTCCTATGGATACATTTTAATATCAACATGCAAAACAGTTGATATAATTTTTTTTTCTGCTTCTTTTTTATGTAATAATCGCAGTGGTAATAAAATTGTTTTATGTAAGGGTAAGCATGTTTTTACGAGTCCGGATAACTCTTAATACGGATAGAGCAGACCATTTTATCAACAGACATTTTTTTTTTGTGGTAGACGTGCGATACTTGCTACACAAAACTTTTATCAATGACACGTGATTAATCTTCCACGAGCTTTCTTCATCTAAGATCAAAGTTCACCCAAGATGCTGTTAATTTTCTTTTCTTCGATACGCAGTCGAAAGACGTTTCATTTCTTTTTTTTCCCACGCGAAATACTGAGATTGGTGGTGAACATATTATTTTTTTCACTCGTTAACTTGTTGTTCTCTATACTTCTGTTTTTCTTCTCGAATAAAATAGCACCAGTTCACTAATTCGGTTAATGGATTTAAATGACAACATAGAAAAAGTTTGAAGGAACAACGTACAAAACGTACCGGTCAATCTATGAATCAATTGACTCGCTCGTTGAGACAACAAGATTGATTAACAGATTGACCAGTAGTTTTCGTCCGTCCTCCCATTTGACCACGTCAAGCGTCCGTTGGTGCCCGTTAGAAAGAACGAACTTGCGTTTATCAAACTTCTGTTTCAAAAGCCGTACATACGCGTACACTTTTATCAGCGGGGGACGTGAATAATCTCAAAGTCTATCCCAGATCAAAGTTCACGCGGGACACCGTGACATTTTCTCTCGTTTTCATTTAATTGCGTGTTTGGTCTTCTTCCACGCCACGAGTATTACACACATAAATGATCGTGTTAAAATACCAACGATGTTACAACAACCGGAAAAACGATACGCAGGTTCCGCTCATTCAATACCGTTTATGTACAAGTTCGAGAGTAGGACACATGATATGAAGCCTTTACCTTTATTGTGCCGTCGAGAGAACATTAACGAGTCTATGTTTGAAGAATGACAGTATGCATTTGCAACGAGTGTGGTTTCAATGGGTCATTCATGGAAGAATTAAGAATTTTATGAAATGATGAAAATTGCTACTTGCGTTATTTATACGGCTATTTTTATGTAACGACTAAAACTGTTTACTTTGTAATTGATTAAAAATATTTCTTTCAATCGAAATAAGTTGTAGAAAGTCGATTTTTCATCAGTTAATTTCATCTTGGACAAAAATTAGGTTGCAAAAATTATGTATTTGAAAAAAGGCAAGTTGAGATTTTGTTTCGTAAAAAAAAAAGGATTTCTCTGATTCTAATAATAAAACTCGAACTGCAGTACTACAAAAACTGACCAATACAAAATAACCTCTCTCCCACTTGAAATGCTATATCTAGTTCGACCGAGATAGTCGTATCTAGGAGATAAAATCACTCGAGTATCATATGGTGATTTCACAAGAGGTTCATGAGATATGGTCGATGGACAGAAATTATTTCGGAGATTCGTTAAACAGTTCAAAGTGAAAATTGATAAAGTTTTTTTACGATAAACATTGATTTAATGCATTAAAATAATTGTTGAAAGTCAAAATTACTTAGAAACTTATTCTATACTAATCCTCAGTAACAGGTCCACATGTTACTCAAAAAGCGGTTTTTCGTCGTAACTTCTTGTTATCGGTATAGATATCGTTATCTGCGTTTGTATTATCAAGAAAACATTGATCAACCCATATATTTCTGGTTAGTGACATTTTTTTTTTTTTTTTTTTTCAACCATATCAACATACATTTTTCGCAATTCTTGTTAAGAAATTTAGTACTAAATGATATACTACACCCACACGTTGAGAAGGTACTCCCTAGTATTGAGTTGCAAAAGTGTTGTTGTAAGCCCTGGTTTTTAAAAAACAGTTTGAAAATATTTTGCAGTCTTTGGGGTGTTCTGCCACGGCAGTGGCCAGAACGCGCCCACCGAGAGCGACCCCCTGTCGAAGGTGAACGAGGTCATAAACACGATCCAGCTGAAAGACCTGAACATCACGCAACTGCCGATCGGCGAGGCGGAGAACGCGCTGCGCAAAAAGTGCGAGAAGAACGCCAACGCCCAGGCGTACGACACGGCCAAGCAAGCCGGCGCCCAAGTGTTCGATTGCATGAAGGGCCTCGTCAACGTCACCCAACTCAAGGATGAAATGGACAAGGCCAGGCCCACGGGTGACCTCGACGAGGTGTTCAAGAAGTACTGCGAGAAGAAGCCCGTGTTCAAAAAGTGCTTGCTCGACTTCACCGCTGCCGTCGAGCCCTGCCTCGACATGGACGAGCGCGAGAAGAAACAGATTGTCCACAACATCACCGAGAAGATCCTCAACTTTGTTTGCTTCAAGGAGGGCAACCGTATTGCGCGTGGGTACCACGTTAATTCCTTTCCGTCCCATTGGCCGATATTTTGCTTACAACTTTTTTTTTTTTTTCAATTCTTCATTTAGTGTTTGTCGCGGCCAAAGGACCCGAGTGCTTCCAAAACAAGGCTCAGGCCATTGCAAACTGCGCCAACTCGACCTACGGAAGCTTCAGCGGCGGTAGCGCTTTGCCGTTCAATCCGGCAGCTGGATTCACTGGTATCCCCGAAATCAAGGAAATCCCTTCGCTCAGCTTTGACGAGAAGACTTGCCGGTGCGTAACATAGTGTATCACCGTTCGACGGACATTAAACCATGATCCTTAAATTATGACAAAAAGAAGAGGATCCGTTTAACTTGCGGTCGATTTTTGGTTCTCAAAAAATTGTCGGGGTCCTTGTAGATCATGTGGTCCGTCACCATCTCGGTTATTTTCTACCCGATACAATGATCCTCTAAACAAAATGTGTGAATAAAAACACTGTAAGGTAATAAAGAACAAATTGTTTGTGCCCGAAAAAACACAACAATCGGGATGTAAAGTTACCTACATGAGTTCCCGCTTAATATATTGCTGTCCATACTGCAATACCTTAGCGAATTTGAGAACCAAGAATAACTTTGTGGATACTTTATTTTAATTAATTATGTGACAGTTTCATTGGAAGTAACTGATACACCGATCGCTTACCCCACAAATTTTATTTTTTGATGTTCCATCGACTTGAATGAACTGGTACTTATGAGAATTAATGAGAATGAACAATTTAAAGTTAGCGATATTAAATCTACCAATAAAAGAGATTCGATTACACAACCAGTCAATGAGATAAAATATTATTATTATTATCGATCCGTGCATCGTTACTTAAACTAAGTCAAATGTGTGTTGCATTATTCTTTGACATTTACAAACAACGTGTATATGTTATTCATTTCTGGATGTTAATTTTTTCACAGTTACATACAGTTATTGTAGAACAAAAAAAAATTAATCTTATTAATTAAGAATAACACTTAATCATATACATTTTTTGTATTTCAGAAACATGAATTCATTCCAAGTATGCGTAGTGAACGCTTTGGAGGGGTGTGAAGATCCAACACCAGCCAATCTTTTAGACTCCATTTTCAACTACATCAAAAAGGTCACTCCCTGTGATAAGTTTCTTAGTTCATGAACCTAGATGAGGCAGTAGAAATATTTTTATTAACGTTGCCATTTTCTTCTGGACAGAAGTCAACTAGGAAAATAAAATAATCCGTCATGGCTTATATAGTTTCACGACTACCATGATTTTTTTATTTTGAAGCAAAAGATTATCGTACATTTGAATTTTTATATCATTAATTATTATACGTAAGTTGAAAAATCATTCTTAAAATTTTTTTAATTTCAACTTTTGTAAGTGAAATATTTTGTAATATCCGAAAAATAATGTATGACACTCGATTGTTTTTCAAACAAATGACTCTTTTCGGTCCAAGAATACATGTATTGTGCAACAAATTGCAACAACTTGAAACTGTGCAATGCCCATCATGACGATTTTAAGTGTAACAAAAGAACAATAAAACATTGAGTAATATTACCAAACATACTATTTTTACTGAAAACTGCTCATTGTACGAACCCGTTGATTTTTTTTCTTTAAAAAAAATTTTTTTTCATTTTCCCACGGCACGCTTTTGTACAGTTGTCGAGATTTAAATTCATTACATGACAAGGGCAACACAAAAAACACCCACGAGGTGAAATTTCACAAAATGACACAAGCGTTTGTAAGTCCGTAGTCTGAAATTTTGAATTCCACTGTCGTTCTTTCCCGCGGTTGTAAACGTCAGATTCGGACAACCAATCGGGCTCGTTGATTGCAAAAGATGGCGGCGTGCGCGCGCGAGAAGAGAGAGAGAGAAAGAGAAGAGCTCTGGCGCGGCGGCGCTACTGCACCACAGTACTTATACTCCTTGCTAACGAGAAAGATTGCCCTCTTGCTCAGTACACTTCGAGAAAGCCCATTGCTGGGTGTCTCTGCGGTGTGCACGAGAAAGGGTAGTTATTACACGCCAAATCCCCGACTCCGTCGCGTTTACAACATGTTAATAAGTTTTACTCGCGTCAACAAATCGACCAATATATTCAGTGTGTTCAGTATACGAAAGAAAATTAATAGTGCTAGACATTTGTTACCCTCTTGATCGTAAGCGGGAGCTCCCAAGCCCGCCTCTTTGGTTGTTATACGTATTTTTGTTTGTTTCTTCGTTAATTTGTTCGTTCAACCTCCTGTCAAGCTACCCATTGTGCAATAATATTTATTATTAATAGTCAAGAGTGAAGCAGCTGCAGAGCAGATAATACACAAGAATATCGATAGTATTCGGGTGTTACCTACGAATAGAATCGTCTTCGTCAACAGCACGAGGCCAAAGAGTGGCGCCAAGATGCCAGGCAAGGGCTATAGACGAGGAAAATACGGTGAGTACCAAGTTACCTCTGTACATGTATCTCTTACCTGCACGCATATTGATCTACTTCTTTTATTTGTCAAAGTATTGCTCACGTATATTATTGCACGTACTTACGTCACTGGCTATTTTTGAGCCCCTGTAGTAACCTATACGAAGAGAAAAATGAGGTGGCCATGCATTTAGGTATACTCGCCGCAGTGAAAAAGGCAGATTCTTCTGCAGCATGTGACTTACACGCCGTTGCCACACCAATTCTTTCCTCGACTCGACGCTCAGTTTGTAGGCAATACCACATATCTATATATATATACGTCTACTAACGTTGCACACATGCGGCTGTCTCATCGTGCTTCGTATGGACGTGACATTACTCGTTGACTAGTCCATAATTATAGCTTAGAAAAGATAGATAAACAGAGCAGAACATAAGTCAAAACATGAATATGGCTTTCTGTTTACCCCCAATTGGTCCTTTTATAGTAAGCAGAAACTATCATCATAAAATCCTTTTGTCGTACTTTTATATTTCGACCTTCTCCTGTTGATCTGCTTCTGTGAGCTCAGTCTGTAATGTGGCTGTGCAGCACGTGAATTGCCTCGATACATCAGGTGCACCAAGAGAAGAATGAGAAAAATTAAAGTTTTGGGTTTTTCTCTACCACGCATGGGTCCCATGTCGGGCATACTTATATTTCTTACACATGCCTTTGTGAATTCAGCAATGCGCGCGCGCACGCACATTGCTCAACTTTCTTTACGTCACCTAGCCAAATATCCACATGCGAGAAAAAGACAGATGCCCCGAGGATGCGCGTGGGCGATGACGGAATGACGGCAAGAATGCGCAGAAATCGGAGTCGATGCGTGTTATCTGCATGCTCCCGCTTCGACTCTGGCACATGAGTTTGTACCTCCCATCATGTACTTGTAATTTTCTCATTCCTTCGTACGTAAAATTCTCTCCCAATAATTCCATTTTTTGGACGTACGAAAAAAGTGGTTGTTCAAGCTCTCACGTAGCCTCGACACCGTTTTTGCTGTTGGGCTGTTGTCCACAGCTGCCAGCAGTAGCTAATGCCATACGTCACGCTTTCAAAGTATTAAAGAGATAGAGCTTTCGTGTGCTTGACACATAGTTACATTTTCGCACCTCTCCTTCCCCTCTCGCTTTGGGGCGAACATTCTTTTTTTTTTTTTCCACGAGCAAAGTTCCGCATTGTATAACGGGCTGGAGCTCCGATGTAGATACTGTTTTACGAGATTGTCCGTTGTGCGCACCAACAATCCCGTGAGTCATGAAAGGCTTAAGAGAGTAAGAGAGCGTTGTTGAACACTTTTTCAGCGCTGTCGTTCGCAGCACGGATGTCATGATGTTGCACCATTTTGGAGCAAACTAACCGCGTTACAGTGCAATCAGATTTGCCATACCAAACTTGTACAACAAAAATTCCAACAGGATTTATCAGTTTAGAAAGTTGATGTACGTTGAAAAAAAAAAAAAAAAGCATAACTGTGCTCGATTTCTACGAAAAACAATAAAACTAATATTATATCGGCTTCAAGTGACGCACGAGTTTCGATAAACTCGTTAGCGCGAATAATCGTCCAGCGGTATAAGAGCTGTAAATAAACGCCTGAGCGAAATCTTAACAGAGACATTCGGGGCCCTGTTTCTTGCGTTCTTTTACTACGTATAGGTATAGTACATAATAATACAATGCTCGGATTTTAGAGCAAACAGCTGTTGGCTGTCAAAACCTGAACGAGTACGTATATACCTACAATAGTTTCGGCCGCAGCTGTTGACTACCTGTTTTAATATGTGTAATTATACATATTTCATTCAAACTTGAACCTCGATTCAATGTATTTGTAGCGATCGATAAATGCAGAGCAAAGAGAGTCCGGTACACAAAAGAGAGAAAAAGTCTTGAAACGCTCGCCAAAAAACCAAAATAGCTATAGATACGATGGATTTACAAGTATAATACAGTTACAGAATAAACGGAGAGAGGGGCGTGTAAGCAAGTATTTCACTATCCAAACTTGCGCAACGGCTTCACGGGATCAAAACCTTATTTAGCCCATTCGTCTTTCCTTTTCTCGTATATACATGTAGTCGACTGTGTGTGCACCCAAGAGCTCTCTCCTTCCCTTTTCACCCGCACTGAGTAATAATTTATCAGGGGCTGGAGCTTGTTATTAAATCAAACGCACGTGTCACCCGCACAACTGCGAAGGCTGCTCTGTACTGCACGTGGAGAGTGAAAATAAAAAAAAAAAAAAAAAAAAAGATAAGCCGTAAGCAAATTAGCGCTCTCTGATCCTGCTATGTATGTGTTGTGTATACTTACACGAGCCGCTGTTTCGCGAATAGAGAATAACAATCTCTCTCTCTCTCTCTCCTCGAGTGACCCCGAAGCCTCGATTTTCGTTTTCTTCGCCTATATACATGCACCGCTGCATCAGACACACACCGTCTACCTCTTCCTTTGCCCTGCATATCTCTCGCACAACTTCAGCCATCAGCTGATCAATTCTGCTCTCATACCTGCAATGCATACATATACATATGTACTCACACACGTACTAATGCAGCCGGACCCCATCGCTAGACTACCCGTGTACCTATACGTATATCTGAATCTGGACCGAACGACCTTGGCTCGTTCGCGGTTGCACGCGCGCGCTCTCGTACCCGCTGGTTGAAAAGTCACGTTTCTTACCTTCGCCTAGCGAATTCGAGTCTCTCAAATACTTTCCAACACGAGGAAGCTGAAGCTTTCGGTTTCTACGCAACACCGAGGGGTTTCATCCGGGATAAGCCCGACAAAAGTTATTTGCACGACCTCGTGTGCTTGTAAGAATATTATCACAATTAAGTATTTGCGTACGGGGGGAGAGCCGCGTGCGACCCGACCTTTACAAACACACTGCATTTTATTTTATTATTTTTATCATTGTAAGCCCAAGATAATCACAAACAACAGCCGCGACTGCGTCCACAGGATCCCCGTGAAAGGGGAAAGTCTGTCGACTTTGAAAGGTCGCGTTGCGCAATCCGCGAACGTTGTCTTATGGATTACAAACTCTCCACCAGTGCCTGTGTCTATACATATGTACATATATATGCATTGCCGAGGAGAAAAGAGTCGGCGACTAGAGCGTTCTATATTCGTATTCGAGATCGGAATTCCAACAAAGTTGTGCCGAGAGAGCTTGGTCGATCGGCGCGAAATACTTACTCTTCGCGTTGGCGCAACAATTTGTTGTTGTTGAGAGGCACAGCCAAAACATATGGCGCAAATCGTGTTCCAATGCCTCCAAAGGATGGATGTTCATGATTCCTTTTGCTTGAATATAATATGATACATAGTTGCAGTTTACCTGTATACATAAAATCTGTAGGGTAATGATGATGATGATGATGATGGTTGCAGGCCACCAGCAGGGAGGGGGCAAGCGGGCCGACGCGTACGCCTCGGACGATGACTCGCAGGGCGACGCGTGTAGCGTGACGAGCGGCCAGTCGGACAACCGTAGCCTCCTGGAGGACGTGGCGAACGACAACAACGAAGTCGACGAGATAAGCCAACAGGAGAGCTTCGAGGAGGCGCTCAAGGAGGCGATAGATGGCCTCGGTCAGAAGAGCGCCAAGGGCCGGCTGGGCTGCTTCCACGGCCTCGAGAAGACCTTTGCGATCAAGTATGCGCCCGAGTTTGTCGAGGACCGCAAGATGACCATCACCGACTCGATTGAGAGGAGCCTGCGCAAGGGCCGTGGTGACGAACAATCCTCCGCCGCGAGACTGAGTACCTTGCTCTGCGTCCAACTGGGTGTCTTTGAGAGCGCCGAGACCGTCTGCCGGGAGGTCAAGTCCACCCTCGTACTTATTGCCAACGACAACGCTGCCTCTGCCACCGGTAGATCCGAGGTTGGACTTGGTTTTGTTTTTGTTGTTGTTGTTTCTCCCTCGTCACCCGTTCTCATTGTCGCCGTCGTTGTTTCAGTGCTGCTGGGCCTTGGGTATGAATTGCTTCCTGGTCGGAGACGACCCGACCGACACCATCGAGATCGCCCAGCTCCTGTCCAACATCTTTGCTGGCTCTTACCTGAAGGGCAACGGTGCTCTACCTACGGTCTCTGTCGAAATGGCTGCCCTCCACGCCGCGGCCATTTCATCCTGGACCCTCCTTCTGACCATCATGGCACCATCGGACGTCTACGCTCTGCTGGGTACCGAGCGGACAAACAACTTTATGCCGTGAGCATTCACCCCATCAGTATAAATTCCCTTATATTCGTTCCTTAAGCGTTGTATTATTACACCTCGAGCGGTTCGTCGTTTTAGTCCCCTCACTCGGCTGGCCGAACTGCTACAGTCGCCTCATTTGGACGTTCGTCTATCCGCCGGCGAAGCTTTGGCTGTGATTTTCGAGCTCGGGCGCGAATACGATGAAGACTTTGAGCAGGAGTGGACGCTAGACTTGATTGATATTCTCAAGGACTTGGCCACGGACTCCAACAAATTCCGAGCCAAGAAAGATCGCAAGCAGCAGCGCGCCAATTTCAGAGATATTCTACACTACATTGAAGTATGCGAGTGTTTTTATTTATTTTTTTTGTTTTTTTTTTTTTTTTCTTCCATCCCTCATCGTATCATTTCTCATGCTCTTGACAATGTTGGATTGTTTTCAGGAGGGCGACATTCCAGAAACACACATTAGATTTGGATCTGAGACGCTTTATCTCGAGGGCTGGTGCGCACGAACGCAGTACAACGCGTGTTGTCGATTGCTCGGCCCGGGCATAAACGTACATCTCGCCGACAACTTTTTATTGCGTAAAATTTTCCATCTCGGTGACAAAGTCATTGAACCGGTCGCAGCGTCACGAAAAACTAGCAAATTGAAGAGAGTAAGCATTGTTGATACTTATATACCCGATGACATATTTGTATCCAAGTGTTGAAATTATTTATGTATTTTCAGACAATGAACGCAGCAGCATTCAAAGCCCGTACAGTTCAGAGGAGTAAAGCTCGGGACAAGCGCTCAGCTGCCTTTGCTATATGAATTATTCGGTAATAATTTCCGTGTTATTTAATTTCATTTAAGGTGTTTCAAACCAGCCGTGTAATATATAATTTATTTCATTTTTCGAGCAAGGAATAATATTTTATTTTATTGGTTTTTGTCTGTCTCTTGGTATTTAAAAATCATTTAGAATGTTTAGTGCCATTGTAGTGACCATTTTATAATTTTCACGAATTGAAGTGAATAGAAAATTGATTTAAAAGAAATACTTGATCGAACCTCGTAACTGCCGAAGTTGTCGTTTTCTTTTCAAGTCTAGCATAATAAATGATGATATTTACTACTTTTGTAAACTTGACATACACGTATTTGTGTATATAATTTGTTGTATATATATACATATAATGAGTTGCAATTTTTAAAACCTAGATAGATTTGTTTAACCGCACATTGGCGATATTATAGTTAATTTGCTTGCAAAGAAGCAAATTTGTTTTCTTATATATACTAGAAAAATTGACATTGATTATTGCATTGTCTTGTATTTATTTTAAAAACATATCCGGCATTTACACGTCAAGTATAGTTTATAAAATGAAAAATATACTTGTATAATAAACTTGGTACACCACGAGTAAATGTTAAGTTCTTTTGACCAATTTTTATTATTTAAAAATAAAAAAATAAATGAACATCTTTTGAGATAACAAAGTTATATTTATTAATAATGCAAATATATGTCATTTATCTAACAATTATTCTTATGATATGTATATTTACAAAAGAAAACACGTAAATAACGAATTTTTACATACATACAAAAAAAATCGATGTGAGTATTCAGAAATACTGCTCGAGTATAAATATTTTTAGATTTATAAACAATACTGCTAAAATGAAGCTGAAGTAATGATGCCCAGTACTGAAAGTTAACTGAGTAGACAGCTGCAAAACATAAAAACTTGATAACGTTCTACTCTAAAATTATTCGTCTAAATGTAAAGTGATCGTTTGTTTGTCAAACTCTTTTTCTGACAACATGTGCCATCGATATCCCAATACTCTTGAAACTTCTTCTTCAGTTTTGGCGTAGTCATTACTGATATCTTTAATCCATTTGCAGTGACTGGCGGACCAGTCGCTGATGTTCAGCCAATCGGCGTCGCATTTTTTCAAAACAACGTTTCGTCGTACGTATAAACATCGCAACGATTTTGCGGTCGATACTATTTCTAACAGCGTAGCTGTCGAAATTTTGTCGCGAATCATCTGTGTAAAAAATTATAAGTATGCTTACTACGTAAATTTGCGTTGTGCATTGTAATTGACACATATTTATACAACAGTTAGTAGGTAAGGTTCGATAAAATACATTTATGATGGATAATGAATGTTAATGTAGTACAGAGATCAAGATCACAGCCAGCCAGGATCACAGTAGCGTTCGTTATAGTTGAAGCAAAAAAAAATTAAGTACACGAGTACATCTGTACTTGTGTTGTGAGCACACATTTACATTTGCAGACGATTAATAAAGCTTAACTGTCAACGAAAAGGGTAGATTACGTTAATATGGGTACAACTGAAAACTTGAATATTGAAAGTTCTACCAATGTATGAAGATTCGGGCATAATTTGCAGAGCTTAACAATCGTTTCATCTATTCGTTTGGAAAAAATTTTATCTTGGTAATATCTGGTTAATCCTTTCAAGGCATAAACTTTCAGCCATTTACCAAAATGCACTGCATGACTTAAAATAATTGACGCAGGTAGCTGCAAAAAGTCGGTTTCAATAAAAAATTACTGTTTAAATAAGTATACAAAAACGTGAGTCCTTCATTTAATATTAATACCTTGGTACTTGGGTTGTCTATTACTATACTGTGACAAGGAATTTCATTGTATTCGCTCACAATAAATGGAAGCACAATGTCAGACGATTTGTTACTCTCAATTTCAAAGTGTACCTTTAAATTTGGATTGTTTATCCTCATTTTTTTCCATGTGGCGTTTTTCAACTGTAAAATTAAACAAAAAGTAAATTCGGTCTTTTGTTTTCAAATCACATAGCTCAGATGATTTAGGTTTTTTTTTTTTTTTTTTTTTTTTACCAAATGAGTGGCATCTTTGGGACTGTAACGATTTTGAAAAACGTGAAGGTGTTCCAGCTTCGTGTAACCCAAAAGTTCTATCACGTCCTCGTGAAGATTGTGAGGACTTATCACAAGAGTCTGTAAGACAGTGGTCACATCATGTTTTACAACAAATACCAGTAAGTATATAGCGATTCGAGAGGATTGAAAAAACGTGGGCTTACTTTTAAATTCAAAAAGACCCCCACGTGTAAGATGGGACAGTGCGTCTTTGTTGCATTAATCAAGACCAATTTCGACAGAGTTTGCGTGCAGTTGGAGCAAATGTCGTCCATTAAATGCGATGCCTCGGTGCTGTCGAGCAGCAAGTCTATCAGCTCCAAGCACTTCAAATTCTCGAGATTCCTCATGAGTCTCTTGAGGGCCTCGAGCAACTTGCCCCCAGTTCCAAAGAGCCTAACGGCCTCGGGATTGTTTCTGTTGGCCATGTTGCAGGGAAACGTAAACTTCAGCCTGCGAATGTTCGTCCCGACACCGGCGACCGTTGTGTTGTCGGAGCCCTGCTTCTCGACGTACCAAGAAATCATGTTCATGAACTCGTACAGGTTGTAAAAGTTCATCATCGGCTCGAAGACGAGGCACTTGATGTTCTTCCCAATTTTGTTGAGACACGTGGACGTCCTCATGTGATCCAAAACGTACTGCCAGCCGCTGTAGTAATTGAACTTTCCTCTCGTGAGGGTCGTGTCCTCCAAGACGAATGTCGACCAAACGTACGGGAGCTTGAAAGCTCGGTACCAGTTGCGACACACCAGCGAGGCATAGTACCGTTCTCTGATTGTCAGGTAGGAAAATATCTCCTCGAGGAGTATGTCGGGCAACTGATCCCAATCACTGTATGACTTTCCTACCTTGTCGTCCTCGTCGTCTTCCTCCAGATCGATGTACAGAGCTGGAAAAACAAAAATCGTTAAGCTGATCCAAAAAAACTTGCTAATTGTCACAAGCACCAAAACGCCGAATATATAAATAACAAGTTTAAATTCGAAGTTCTATTAGTTCCAAAAAGCTCATTAAAAAAACTCGCGAGGGAGTGCTTCTGTTTGTGTCTATAAATATGTTTTGGCTCCTAACTATTGACGTGTTAAAAAAAAAAAAAAAAAAAAAACTTGTGGCCACGGTCGGTAACTCTTTCCCATTTTTCGTGAAAACTTACTGTGAATGCAAGTAAAACGAATGCTTGCGATAAAACAAAAAAAAATTCTCATTGGCAAATGGTAAACCGAGAGAAGTAACACGCAAAGATGCGCAAAAAGTAGGTAATTTTAGACGAACATGGAGAGGGGAAAAAGCTCGAAATTTCGGCGCGTGACGTAAAAGCTCGGTTACGACCGGTGAAGCTCTGCTTTAGTCGGGGTAGGGACAAAGAAAAAAAATGAAAATAAGCACACACGGAGCAAATCTTTCACGCACGTACCATTGTCGTCCTGGTCGAGTTTCCAACAGCCTTTGTTCATTTTCGAGGATGACGGTCCACCGCCGATGCTTCGACGCACATTTGGATCAACGACACGGCACACTAGCTCTTCCTCTTGCTGGCAGAGCAGCGCTTAGGAGCTAATAGCTGCTACTCATCCTCTCCTGGTCCCCGGCATCGGCGCGTGTGCGCAACAACACCTATGCAACGCCGATCTAAAAATAAGCTTGGGGCCTGCATAGAGAGCCAGATGCCGATAAGAATAAAAGAAAAAGAGCCTCGGTTGGGTGGGTGGGTTATTGTCGTGGCGTGCAACCATATTATATCCTTACCTTTCGTATGTTAATCACCTTGCCGGGGTAGCCTCCGCTTTTCATCGAGTGAGATATGTGCGTAACCGTCCTCTCCGAGGGCCGTGTGATAGGTATGTCTCTCCTTCGGTCGTTTTTCGTTGACAGGGCGCGTGCAAGCTCGATTGCCGATTCGAATTTCGCGAAGGCAAGCAGAGTGTCGGATCACGCGCGCTTGTGGAGTAATCGAATTTTTTCATTCCAATTGAAGGATATGATTGCTCGATTGCGTCCGAGACATAGTACTCATTGAGCAATTTTCTTTCTCTCGCGCCGTACAAATCGCATCACAGGTTCAATGCACGTGGGAATAACAATTTTTTCAAATCTCACTCGGTTTGTAATAAAATTACGGTTTAAGTACATATACATACGACGCACAAAAAAGATTATATAAGAAAATTTGAGGTTAATTGAAATCTCCTTTGTCAACTTTCGGTAATTGTTTAATTAACATCGCACGATAATGTGCAGAGATGTAAAGACATGTATCATGTGCCCCCGATAATCCGTGTGTGGTTCAAGTTTTCATGTTTAAAAACCCCGCGCTATAATGTGATGTATATGGGTATATACGCTGCTGCTGCACTAAAAAACATAACCTTTAAATATGTTTTGTTTTTTGGTGTTTTTACAAACTTTTTATTCAAACTATTAGATCTAATCAAAGTTTCATCAAGTAAAATACTTTAGTTATTTAATTATTTTAAAATGGAAAGAAACGACGAAGACTGGGTAGTTGAGTGTTCCGACGATGAAAAGTACGAGGTCGATCCCAAGGTAAAGTTGTTTGAGTTGCGTTATTGTTATTAACTTGAAGGTTTTAAAAAAACTATTGCTGAGCTTAACGAAGAACTTGAATTTATTGTAATAAATATTTAATCAACACTAAGCTTTCGTTTTATCATCAAAGATCTCAGTTTTCTGTTGATGAGAGCGTGCCAGTGACAATCCTTTTTCATAAGTTGCTATTATTGAATTTTTTATCTAATTTATTTGTAGAACGGCTGGATGCCAAAGCCTGAAGACATAGTGTCCCTCATAGAAAGTTTAGAAAGAAATAACAGAGTTTTGGAGCTTGAGTGGAGATGTCCAGGAAGGCGTGAACCGTCTCCTGTTACTGTAAACAATCACCAGCAAGATCTTTTAAATGATTACAAGTAAGTATATCACAATGTGAAAACTTTTAAAATATAATATTTGAAATATTGTTTCGCTCGAAAATTAATTCAAATGTAAATTACGCTTATTTCAGACCCAAAGAAAATAATTCAGATTTCGAATTCATGGATGAGATGTCTTCTCCAAGACTACCAGTCAGGAGAGCTGGTGAAGCTACACCAAAGGGCAGTGCAAAGAAAAAAACTGCCAGTTTTAACAAAGTTTTAAACACAATGCTGCGCCAGCGCAGACTCGAACAGCAAGAAAGTTTAAGTCCCAAAAAGCCTGAGCCAAGTTCACCAGGGATGAAATCATAAGACTAACAGTCTTCAAAAGTGCAGTGAAGAGACATGGCTTGGCCATTGAACTGAGTGATGTAAAAACTGAGCTGATTCGTCAGCTGTTTCTTTTTATGAAACTTTATCGGTTTTTTTTCTACTATCTATTGATAGAAAAAAAAGACTACGATTATCCGTTAAGGATATTGGATAATTATCCTCTGTGAGGACTCAGAGTAAAATACATTTATAGATGAAAGATTTTCTATGTTATATTTTATATTTTATTTTAAATTAAGTAATATAAAACGGAAAGTATAATTTCCGCCTTATGCAATGATGCAAATAATCAATTTGAATCTATTATTTTGAATTGAATGAAAAAAAAAGTATACCCAAACACTTTACATCAATTAATAATATATTATCTATGTATAACGAATGATATTTTTTAATGAAATATAAACTAAAGATAAATAAAATTAATGGTACCACAAAAGTTGTCACTGATTATTACAGTCAAGTATTGTTCCATTGTCAGAAATGACGGCCCAACTTGGAAATTCATGTATTTCAAAGACATAGGCACCCAAAAAGGGAAAAGAAAGGCTCACGAGCAGGAGACTGTAAATCGAAGGACCACAGCCACCGAGAATGAGTCTTTTCACCGGCACGTGACCAGTCACGGTGATAATGGCATTTGGTGGCGTTCCCGCAGGAAACCGAAACGTATGCGAGCACATCATCGTCGCCGGAACCATAATAAACAACGGGTTTATTTTTACAGAAACGCTCTGTTCGGAATGAATTGTTACGCATGAATTAAAATTTTTTTAAATCATGTAACGACGGTACCGTATAAATGTCAGTCAATGAAGAACATTCATGCATTACCGTCAAATGATAAAAGTGGCAAAAAAGCAACGTTTATAGGTACCATTGAAGCTAAAATAGGCAGCATAATATTGGCCATTCCAACGTTGGACATGATTTCCGTGATTGTGCCGACAATGACATTAACGAAAACCAGAATGAGCCAAGGGGGCAGGTTCTCCAACGGAGTCATGGCGTTGCCAACTTTGAGCGCCAACCCGGATTTGGTGATGGCCTTTGACATGGCAAAACCACCTCCCAACAGAAACATCAAACTCCACGGCATTTTAGCCTGAATGACTTTCCAAGTGATCAGACCCTCAGAAGAGGATTTAGGCCTCTTGCTCTCTAAAGTAATGGAGGGAAAAGTAAAAAAACATTTCCTAAGTATCGGACAAAAAAGTTGGCTTGAACTTGAACCAACCATCGTTACTCCACATGTTGAGGAAATTGAGATCCTTGGGTATGAAAAACATGAGGAGGGCCACGAATATGATGGGCGCCGAGTCCAGGATCTCGCTAGCAGTTTGCACGAATTGAAAGATAAGTATTGATCGGCAACGGTTGAAGTTACATGTGTATATTTTGATCGACTCACACTCCAGATACGAGTTCGGCCCAGCCTGGCATGAACCCAGGGTCGCGCGCGAGCCACAAAAACACCGCGGACACAAACATAGCCGCCACGCCCAGCTCGTGACTCGTCATTTTCCCGAGATTGTCGTACCTCTCCTTTATTATCTGTGGACGATGAAATTGACGTTACATTTGAATAAACAAAAAAAAAAAAAAAAAAAAAAAAAAAGATACTTCGACGCACATTTGGATCAACGACACGGCACACTAGCTCTTCCTCTTGCTGGCAGAGCAGCGCTTAGGAGCTAATAGCTGCTAGTAAACTTGACATACACGTATTTGTGTATATAATTTGTTGTATATATATACATATAATGAGTTGCAATTTTTAAAACCTAGATAGATTTGTTTAACCGCACATTGGCGATATTATAGTTAATTTGCTTGCAAAGAAGCAAATTTGTTTTCTTATATNAAAAAAAAAAAAAAAAAAAAAAAAAAAAAAAAAAAACCAAAAACACGGTCCGTGCAAGTGGCAACAAACGATTGGACGACACAACCCTGTTGGCGACGATCTCGCCTTCGGTGCCGATCGCCGCGTCCTGGGCGTCCCGGCTGTTGGGCCGAAACATGCCAAAGTACAACACGAGCACGTACACCCAAGTCATGAGGGCGTTCGTGTAAGCCAGGGGCACCCCGTACAGCATCCACTGGCCGAAGCCGATTTTCGGACCGCACGCGAACGTTTTCTCGAAAATACCCTTGAAGACGAGGTTCGTGCCCGTACCGACGAGCGTGGCCGTGCCCCCGAAACTGGCCGCGTACGCCGCTCCCATGAGGTAAGCCGTCGTCACCTTTGTTGGACGCACCTCACTCAAGGCGCATACATACCATCATACAGTTGATAGACCACGGTGCAATTGTGTGTTGATAAGTATATATACCTGCTTCCGCTCTCGGGGTTCTGGGTGTCGACAAACACCTTTCCAAGTCCTTCCTGTGCAGCGCGAAAAGAGGGGGACAAAAAGTGTGGGAATGAGGCAAAACAACCAAAATGATATGTGAAAACAGTGGATGTGTGTGTACCCTCTCGAGTTCGCCCAGGACGGCAAATATGATGGGCACCATCATGGCAGTGGCGGCGGTGTTGGTGATCCACATGGACAGGAAAGTGGTGACCACGAGTAGGCCCCCGAGCAGGCGTTTGTGGCTGCACCCGACGATCCTTATGACCTTGAGGGCAATGCGCATGTGGAGGTTGCTGTGCTCGATGGCGATGGCGAGGATCAGACCGCCCAGGAACACCATGATCACGTCGTTGGCGTAACACGCGCAGGTGTCGTCGCTGCTGAGGACGCCCAGGCACGGGAACAGCACCAGAGGCAGGAGGGCCGTCACGCCCAGCGGTAGGCACTCCGTCACCCAGTAACCGGCCATTATCAACACCACGTAGCCGCATTTCGATTCCTAATTGCACTCGGGTATTATTGTAATTCCATTTTAAAAATTTTTTAAAAAAATTAACGAGCAAAAGGTACAGGGTTGCGTTTTACCTTTGAAAAATTGTCCACAATGACGAACGGTAAGAGTATCAAGGGCCAAACGAGGGCGAATATAATTTTCCAGTAAAGTTTACAGCAGAAGCCCGCCTTCCACAACACAGATGTTTCGTCGAGCCTGTGTAGGTGCCAAAATAACAAAAATATATCCTATTACGTGTATGCAACAAATGTATTTTCGGAGTATCGCGAAGTAGTGAGAAAGCATCGATTACGCCATTATTTCACCCAAGGTCTGATTAATCCTTTTGACAAACTTTTATACCATTATATAATGTATATTATGTAACAGTGCTAAACTATCCTTTGCTTGTGTGGTTTTTTGGTTATCAACGACGCAAACGTCAAAAGGATAAACTGAGGACAAAAAAAAAAATAATTGATAAACGTAAGAGTGAAACAAAATTCAAAAGGCAGCAAAAAAAAAAAAAAAAAAAAAAGAAAGGATAAAATTCAAGGCCGATCGCGCGAAAGCGATAAACCGGCGGGTAACAAAATCGCGTGATTCACCGTAATACAAGTACGTATTTGTGCATATACTGGGTATGACTCAATCGCGAGTCCCCTGTTTCGGGGAGTTACGGCGAAGGGCTGGACTTTTATATACCGCAGAAAAGAAAAAAAAATAGCGAAGGAGGAGGAGGAGGAGCAATTCACTCGAGTGTTTGAGCACAAAAGCTCGGCGCTTCAAAGGGAGACACGCAATTATTTCGAGTTTCCTCTTCTCCCTCCCTCCCTCTGCAGTTGCTTTGATTGTAGTTTCAATTGAATTAAGCTCGCACAACAAGTCAACACAGCACCGTAAATACGTGTTTTTGTGAACTTTGCGTTTTACTGTTTTTTTTTTTTCCCTAAAACAAGAGATGCGAAACACGCCAAGTTCCACGCGTGCTCTATTGACGGTGGAAAAAAAAAATTCATTTTTCAACGATTGAATCTCTTGCAACCCCCTTTTTTTTTTCTCTTTGGTGGAATCGATTTTATCTTCAATAAAAAAAAATTTCATTGCAACAGTTGTGTTCGAAAATATAAAATAAAGCGCGCAAAAGTGGGTTACCAAGTGACATGTTTTCTTTCGACACCGGAGGAACAAAAATTTTTCGCATACACGCGTGACATGTACTTAATTTTATGATGCACCTAGTGGTATTTAATTTCCTTCCCAATATCGTTCGATTCAACATTAATTGTTATAAACACGAGGGGTTCGATGCCAACACTCTCGAAGCTCGCGTTTGGATATGAATTATCATTTTTTTCTCTCTGCTCGTTTGACAAAAGTTTTTAAAAGGGAAGGGGGGAGGGGAGATGAAAAGCAACCGTAGAGGGAATTCGAATGGTCGTTAAATCCTCTTTTATTTTCTTCGTCGCCAAGGGAGACTCCGTTGTCGCACTCAGAGAGAGAGAGAGCCGAAAAGGAAGGAGTCAGGCCACTAAGTAGGAGTTGGGGGGAATTTCGTAATGTAAAGTAAAGAAGCGGAAAAGTATATAGGCACACAGGACGAAGGGGTATGTGAGATACCAAATGACACACACCCACACTTGTGTACATATATATATATTATACCGTCACCTAAAAGTTGGTGGCGCGCGCGCGCGCATTGTGAACGACTGTGTATACACTAGGCGGTCGAGGGAGGAGGGAGGGCAGGCACCAGCGGCAAGAGGTGGCGGTCTTCGAACCCCTTCGGGGGCCGCGCTCGCGACACTCCGGGTTGCAGTCTGCATTGCGCAGTCCACAGGGGTATCACACCAGGACCCGAGTTCCCTGTTCTCGCTGTACGTTACATTACACCGGAGACAGCAGCACGCGTTGACAAACCCGCACACTCGACAGGAAGGGCTTTCTATATAACCGGCTGGCCTGCACCTTGTACCTTCGTACGCGTGAGTATAACAGGCAGAGACTATTTTTTGTTGTTGCTCTTTTACATTTATTTTATTTTATTTTATTTTATTTTTTTGCTACTGCTCCGTTGTCTCGAGGGAACTCTAATTGCTCGGCGGCTGTATACAGCTGTTTGGGGGTGCTAAAGTGCTCCACGGGGAACGACAATTGTCCCGGAGCTCGGCCGACTTTTCGCGCACCGTGTCGGTCCCTTCTCCTCGGGTTTTAAACGCCAGCTGTGATTGATTCCCAAAGTACACCTCGCAATGTATAACTTTTATGCAGTACATACCATGGGTATAATATGTATACGAATGTGTATAACGTTGTATCGAATGGGACGTATTATCTCCATGAAGATTCGGTCAATATTTACCGAGAGCGCGTGTTAATGGGTCCACACACACACACACACACCGCATCGTAGTTTTAGGCATTCGATTTCGTTGATTGCTCGTTTCGACAATCACCGCACGCCGATGGGTGATCAATGGTGTGTGTAATTGTGGCCCACCCTGGGAAATAATCGAATCGACCTGCACATAATATATACCCATTATGTACACGCAGCCCGTAATTACGTATACCCCGTTATCTTCCATCGTGTACGAGCGGACCTAAAAGATATTAGGTTATCCTTCGGGAACATTTTTTCCTTTTTTTTTTTTTTTTTTCCACTCGTGGACTGAAAGAAGAGCGATCCAAATGGGGGTTTAAACATTTCATGAATAGTCAATATCATTTTTTTTCTCCAACGGATCACCCACCCATATTGCCAGGAACTATTAACCGAATATAGGAAATTTGAAATTTTCATCCACTTGATTTGTATTCGCGATTCTCGAAGACGAAATGGATTTCTTGGACACGTAAACGCAACCCATCATGCAGGGACAGGGTAAATATATAATTCAAGTTCGCGATGCATAAGCGATATATTCGTCGAGTCACGTGACAAACGAAATCGGCGTCCTTAGGTGTCGCTGGAAAAGGAAATTTATCACACGTGTACGTGTGTGGGCGACAGGGGGGGTTGGAGATTTATGCGCCCCGACATTGATCTGTTTTATCTCTCCTAAGGAGATTTAAGCTCAAAAGGGGGGGGGGGAATTGTGATTGATTACGTAGGCACTCGTTGCTCGAGGAGTTTCAAACCTTTTTTTTTTCTTTTTCTTTTATTGTTATTTAATTTCCCAGCGATCGATTCTCTCGGCGTAAGGAGGCGCGATAAACGCGATTGCTGGCAATAGGCTGCACATAGGTATAATAAACTCTCAACTTACGTAAGAATACAACAGTGGGAAGGGATGGGAGGAAAGGGATGGAAAAAAAAAAAAAAAAGAAATGTATCGCCAATGAAAACTTTGCTATGTATCTTCGAACCAATCCAACAATCAGCCACAACAGTCACCAACTCTTGTACTCGAAGGGGGGGTTGGAAACACTATTTGTAAACTCGGGTACACGTATAAAAATATAGGTACATCACGTGGGCTCGAGGGAAGAGGATCTCTTTGAAATATATATATATATCTGTAGTGCATATACAGTCGCGCGTGGTCGAGAGGCAAAAGCAACCTGTCGTTCGATACGCCCATATATATACACACTCGCGTCGTGAGAGACGAGTGTCAGCTGTAAGAAGCGGAAAGTGCCCCGTTGGACACAAATGCAATCATCGTCATAGGATAGCGATAAAAGCCCGCAAAGACAAAGAAAGAGGGGAGTCGTACAAACAAAAGAGGAGATCAAATAACACGCAGATTGGAGTATATACAGGCGATCGCTCCTCCACAGCTGTGGCGACGAGTGGATATACATGTACATATGTATGTATACGCGCGCCCTCCGCCAGGGAAGGAAGAGGAAGCATAGCGCCGGCATCGATTGTTCGTTCGGCGAAACGTGGCTATGTATAGAGAGAGACTATAGGGGGGAAGGGAGGGGGGGGGGCAAGAAGGAAAAAAAAGTGCAGAGAAAGGCGAGACAAAATGATGAGCTAGAGAGTAACCAACACATCAATTGGTATAGTTATCGGCTCACTCTTATCGTAATAACGTACAACTACACCTATACGTATTGTACATGTACATATTGTTTGATACGGGTGTATCAATCACTCCCCGCTTCACGCGGGCGATATCGCAATTGCGCCGCGTGAAGACCAGCTTTCCCGTAGCTCTCCCGGTCTAAAGGTACACCTCGATGCACACGCGACATGTATATACAAAGCCCCGAGACAGATTGCCTCCGAGCCGGGAGCACCGACACCCGTGTACACACACTCTCTGCATACGCGGTTTGGTAAAATCCCCGTGTAAGCCGGCCGGTGGTATTCAATTCGAGCAAATGCACACACACACACACATATGCTACTGGATGTATAAAACACTTGCGGATTGAGGTAGGAAGTGGGGGGGGGGGTTATATCGCGTTATGAGCACCCCCCTTTTTTTTCTCTCACGAGTCGCTCATCCGTGTATACCTGTAAGCAATATATACAAGTGTCGCGCTCTGATCTCGAATTCCTTTTCCCTCTGCCGCGGGGTTTTCGTTTGAAATTGAAATCACCCACCCCCCCACACTGGTCGAAAGGAGCCGCGTGCGTGATTTCTTCCTTTCCTATATACGTACACCCAGCTGGAAAACAAAGGGAATCGGGGGGGAAAAAAAAGTGTATCGTTTGACGTGACGCGAGAGGGGCGGTGTAATTTTCAACCCCCCGGGGTTTTAGAGTGCCACACGCGCCGCCGAAATTTGATCGAAAAATCGAACACCCGAACAAGAGCGCATCGCTGCTCGTTCTCTATTGACTCTATCGTTCGTTGACGTCGATTGGCCTTTAATGCACCGTGTATATGTTTACCGATACAGCAAGGGTTATTTGTATAAGCCACACGACGAAGAGGAGAGAGAGAGAAATGGGGGGGGGGGGAAACAAGAGAAGCGCCGCACGCAGCGGTGATTGATGCCGAGCGGAAGGAAGGCGGCAATCTACTCTCGCCTCTGTGTACATGTATGTCTTGTGATCTAACTTTGGTGGGTACGCCACCGTTGGGTGCCTATGTATATATGTATGCTTGTACTTTTAACAGAGAAGGGCAAACATTTTGCGCAAAGTACAAAGCTCGCACGGGGCGGAGTGTGTATTAGTTAGGTATATATACATGTGCATCGGTTGCCCAGGAAACAAGACGGGCAAAACACACCACCGTCGTATCTTTCTCTTCCGCTCTCGCCGCAGGTATTCCGTGCAAATTACTTCTGCCTAGTTGCTTGGAAGAGGGGGAGGGAAGCGCTTCTTTTTTTTTTTCCTTTACTTTTTTTTTTTTTTTTTTGCCAGGTATATATACCCTCATGGCACCGGTAATGTCTTTTATCTCGAGCCACGAGTAATTTACCCCGTTGCAACGTGAAACCTTAACGAAGCTATACATGATTACTAATGTCAACACCAACGAAACACTCGCAAAAAAAAAAAAAAAAAAAAAAAAAAACTGGGCTGTATAACTCTGATCGTTGGTGTGTTATTAATTTGAGCGAGAGAGTCTTGAAATTTCATCCATGTACGTATATCCCTGTAACTGCACAATGTGCGCGGAGTAAAAATACCCGCACACATGAGCCCTGAATCAATCGAGCGAAAACACTAGACAGCCCGCCGAGCAAATAGAAAGTTTATCCATGTCCCACCTGTGCAATCGAAACAGCACAACAGCGGGGGGTGAGTTGTTGCCCGGAGAGGCGTGGGACCAAATGTGTGTGTGTTTATGGAATCGCGAGCCATGCCTATATGCATAAAATATTCATACGCGCGAGTGTACGTAGGTATATATTTACTTTCGCTCTGTTCCATATATTTGCCCAACAATGACAACCAAACGGGCCACGGACACACCAGGAGGAGGAGGAGCGGAAAAATGTGGGGCAGAGCAAACATGGCGGCTGTGACCCTGCTCCTTCAGCTCGGCTGGATCTGCATCTTCGCTCGAGCCGACGGTATGAGCGCTCTTGATTTCTTTACCCCTCGCCCTCCCCCCTCTTTTTTTTACCACCGCTGCTCTGCCGTGGTTGCTCCGTTCCCTGCTTCATTCGTATACACGCGGGTTGACAGGTGCCGAGATGACTCCGGTTAAACGATCCGTGACGAGTCGTACCAAAATATATACGTGCGCCCATGGAATATTCCTGTACGTGTACCGACAAAAAACCGCGACGAAATGGTCGTTAGCCCCGACGCTCGTTTCCCTCGAACCATATACACAAGGCACATGCACGGGCGCTGAAATTAAATTTACGAAACGAAAATACCCCCCCCCCCTCTCTCTCTCTCTTTGGTGCTCGGCTGCCGGTTGCGAGAGGGAGTGTATATATTGTACGAAAAAAAAAAAAGAAAAAAAAAAGAGGTCGTGTGCCGTTAAGCGAGGTGCCGAGCGAGCGTCATTCAAGCGCGGCCGTGCTGGTGTATATGTATACAATACCTATGCACAAATGTTGTGGCAAGTGCTGCGTAGGCGCGGGATTAATTACACCCGGTGGGGGAGGGGTACGCGTCCGGATGAAAGTGACGAGTAATATACAGAAGCGGGGTAAAAAAAAAAAAACCATACCGGGGGGAGCTCCGAGAAAACGGGGACGCGCTGTTGGGGCCTTTGGTCGGGCGCGGGAGATTATGAGGAAAAGAACAAGGGGTGTGTAGGGGTGATAAGGTCGAGGCATTGTTCGGCTGAATATGTGCTATCTGATCGACCCCCCCCCTTCGGGCCTCTTGACCGTAATGGCACTGAACAATCTTTTGGCCGAAACGAAACTTGAAACGAAAGAAGAATAGACCAAAGTTAAAAGAGCAGCTAATCTTGTCGAGCATCTCCCCCTTTTGAAAAAAAAGGCTCTGTATAATCGTGGCCGTGCGACAGGTGCCCGAGGCTCCGGTGGTCCGCCGAAGCCGCAGGCGAGCGATGCCCACGCGATGCTGGACAGGGCGATCGATTGGCTGTGGAGTAAACGGGACAGGGACGCCGGCTGGGGCAACGACACGCACCGGGTGCTATTGGCCCTGAGGATGGCCAACCTGTCGCGGGACGACAACACGCCCCAGGCGCCGGGTCTGGACATGCGGCTCAGCGCCAAGCAGATGGAACTCGAGATCGTCACGATGCTCTTGAGGTGAGATTTTCGACCTACCACCCAATCGTGCTGCTCTTCATACCCCAGAAAATATACGACACATTATTGCCCCGTGAGGTCTGATTACACGTATACGTGTACAATGCGAGGCATCACCGGTGTAGCGCTCGCGGCCTAATTTTCTACATTGTGCGCTCCTCGCTCTCCTCTTTTTTTTCTTTTTTTTTTTTTTTTTATCCCATCGGGATTGTGCATTGTTCCGAAGCAAAAAAAAAAAAAAAAAATGAGTTCCATCTTTTTTACTGCAAAAAAATTGTATCCCGGTGCAAAGGCGCTGTCGTTTTGTTCAATTTTAATACCACGAGATGGGGTCCCGGTGCCCATACGGATGATGAACTCCTCTGTGATGCGATGTCTGACCAAACGCGGATTGTTCTACTACGACAGCGCAACGCGCGCCGATACCCCGCAGCGCTTTAATTTAATTTTTTTTTTTTTAATGGCAGCGTTGATTTTTAACTTTGAATAATTACTCTCCGGGTTTCCCATCTAAAGTACCAAAACGCACTTTGAATCCTCTCCCTCTCCTGGAAATATATGTATCGCCTCAAAAATCTCTTGAAACAAAAAGAAAGAGGAGCTCTTTTCCCAATTGGCGTTTCAAAGGGAAGATTAAAAGAAGGAGAGAGGAAAAAACAAAAAAAAAAAACGAGAGCCATCCGGGAGCAGTAGAGAGCTCGGGAGAACAATATTGATCACACGCGGCTCTCTCGAGTGCCCGTACAACCCGGCCACACACGTATATATGTATGATGCACTTATACTCTCTGCACACCCACTTTCTTCCTCTTTTTGCTCGTCCCTCTCCTGCCGAGCCAATTTATGTTGACTTTTGCGAGCCAAGTAGAGAGAGGAGGTGGAGAGGGAAGAAGAAAAAAAAATACTCACCTAATGGGGTATACAATAAAGAGAAAGAGGAAAGAAAAAAAATTGTTTTTTTTTTTTTTTCATCTACGCTCACGTACAGACACCGGGAGATGGGTAGCTCGCCGACGCGGTTGGCGCGTTACGCGCTCACGTTGAACGCCATGTGCATGGACCCGAGGCAGTTCCACGGCCACGATCTCATAGGTACGATACAGCACCACGAGCTGCCGATCGACTACGAGTTTGCTCTCACCGCGCTCGCGGCCTGCAGCGCACAGGCCCACATGAGGAAGCGGCACATGCGCCGGCTGCTCGACATCACCCACACGGCCCAGCACCACAACATCGGTAGGGCCATTTATTAACATTTCATTTTCAACTGGATTAATTTTTCTTCTACGTATATATATACGTGGCTTTGCGATACGTCCATAGCATCACCTACTTTTACAAAGTTTACCGCGCGCCGAGAGTAACAAAAAATTTTCCGATATCCGGTTACGTGGCCATTGATTGGAAGCCAACTAAACGCGAAATAAAGAAAAAAAAAAAAAAAGTCGATGAAACTTTGGTAACGGGCAAATCCAATCGGCCAACGCGCCAGGGTATCAATTTTCCCCGAAGCGGTGTAATTTACTTTTGGAAAGGGGGGAGGGGGGAAGCGATCGTTTACGCAACACGCAGACTGGAAAACAAAGTCAAGGTTCGACATCCTCTTCGAAGGATACGGGCACTTATGAATACAATGTCTCGCGCTTCTCTGGTGGCGGTCCAATAACGCCAATAGTGAAAATTCGATTAGCTTGGTACGTGTAGTGACAAACAACAACCCGCTTGTCGACAGAAACCGTGGCGATGGGCATAACGACGCTGCGGTGCATAGTCCAGGACCACAGGCACCGAAACCTCCAGCACTTTGTGCGCAAGCCCTCGACCAACCTGGCCCAGCGTCAGCGCCGGGACGGGGGCTTCGGGGAGCTGCGCGCCACCGCCGAGGCGATGCAAGCCCTCGAGGAGTCCGAGAACGAGCCGATAGCCAACTGGAACAGATCCGCGGCTCTGCTCTGGCTGGCTGGCCGGCAGCGCCGGGACGGCTCTTTCGACGCCGACGTCAGGACCACCGCCGAGGTCGTCCTCGGTCTCGCGCCCCGGAAAATCGCGAGCATCAGGACCCTCGACTGCGGCCAGCCCGCGACGGACGGACCCCCCCAACAGCCGAGGGTCGTCGCCGCTCCCGGCAACCACACCGGTAAGATTTTTTTCGAGGATTTAACGATGGTCAAGTGTACCTAGATATATATATATATATATACCTACTCTCGTGTGTTGTACCTCAAGCGGGAGAGGGCTTGTCGACGTCGCCGGTGCTCCCAACCACTGCTGGCAGTCTTAGATCCACCAGCCCTGGCAGCGCTAGTTCTACCACCACCACCACCACCATTACCACGACCACTACCAGTAGTAGCAGTAGTAGGGTCCCCGTGAGGTTTAGCGGCAGCGTAGCTACGACGTTGGCCAAGTTCGAGGAGTCGACCCTGCCGAGCGCCTACATAATTGGCCAGCAGCACGGTCAGGCTCCGTTGGTCAACGTGACGTATACCCTGTGGGTGGGCAGCGACGTCAAGGAGATGTACAACTTGAGCATCAGCGCCCCGAAGAACGAGACTTTTTACGAGGTGATGGTACTGGCGGCCCAGCGCTCCCCCAACTTTCAATTTTCGGCTTACGAGTGGCCGAACGGCCACTACGTTCACACGCTGGCCGGCTATAAGGAGGAGCCCATGTCTTACCACTACTGGCTCCTTTACAGGCTGCCCACGCCGCCCGAGGCAGCCTCGCCGCCCGGCAACACCCTCGTCGCTCCTGGAGGTCCGGCATTTTCGGTTGTCCTTCATCTTTCCTACAATCTCATTTTTTTACCCTTTTTTGTTTTTCTTTTTTCAGGAGTGGACGATTTGCATATCAGCAATGGCGAGCACTATCTTTTCTGGTACAAAAAGCTCTAAGGGGGTTCGATGGAGAAAGTGCGTTCGAGTGAAAGGCAGCGACGATGATTCAAGAAATTTTATCTGATAAACCAAAGTATTTAGAGAAAAAGAGAGATAAATGAAGAGTGTGTGTGTTTGCGTGACTCTGCGATTGGTGGTACGTGTGGCTGTGCAACGATGATATAGTACACAATAAAAAACATACATATACAATTATAAACACATATAAATATTATATATTATTGTACCGATCGTGATTTAGAGACTGCAAGTCTATATTATGTAACGAATATCATTGAGTAAGAATTTATTATTTAGTGAGGAAAAGCAAAATATTATATTGAATACAATAATGCGACGATTGCCATTTGTAGGTACGGCGAGTTTGAAGATATCAAATTCTAATCGTATATAAATAATAATAATTATAACAATAATAATAATAATGATACATAGTTAAAAAGTAATTTAGCTGATACGGAGCATAACATTTTTTATAAAACTGCAATGCACAACACTATATTGTATTTATGTATGATGATACAACGTATGTTATAATATATACATATATATTAGTGATGATTTAATAAATGCGATATGAGCCACTGTACATATTACAGTTTCATATGCGTATTTTGCTTCACCTTATTTATGATACCTTGATTATCATTTTTTTTTTTTTTTTTTTTTAACCATATACTTGCGCTTTAATTTTGCCAAAAAACGAAAGGAAATTTCCTACCATCTACTATGCCAGGGAAAATACTTTTGTTTCGGTTATATGACATTTCAAAAACAAAGTATAAACAACAAGCCAAAGATTTTCATTGTCACTAATGAATAAATTATTCCGACGTAAAAGAAAAAAACTTTAAAGAATTACATGTTATATGTACATTAGTCCTGAATTCAAATCCTCGAAAGATAACTTTGTGCACTTTCAGCAAACCTATTGCGGTATCGCCAGGCTTTAAAGCTGATCAATACATGATAGAAATCCTCTCCTGCTACATTATCACAAGCGGTAACCACGAAACCATGCCGATAAACGGTTATATAAAGATCATCTATGACAAAAATGATTATTAAAATTAAAATATTGCTTGACCCGAAAAGAATAAGGGTGATGCAACATAAGCCCTATTTTAAAATCATTGAAATTTATAAAAAAAATTTTTTTTAATTATCGTGATGTGGGCCTTTGCCATCAGTTGGGAATAATTTTTCCAATATAATCAACCTATAAGAAAGTCCCTTGTATTGCTACAAACCCGAAAAAGATACAAAATGTTTAGAATAAAATTGTTAAAATGAGAAATGGCTAAAACTTTTAACGCTCGTATCTCCGTAAATAATATAAATAGGGCAAAAAGAGCCTAATTTTAGGATCATCAAATTCTATGAATATTTTTTTTTTAATTTCCGTATTGCACGCCTTTGCCATCAGTAAAATAATATTTTTACCACGTCATGGGCTTCTAGGATAGTCCCTTGTATTGCTAGGGAGCCCTAGACAGACACAGCAATCATAAAACGACGAAAAATTTAAAGTAAATTAAGTCTAAAACTTTAAACGCCCGTATCTCCGTAAATAATGAAGATAGGGCAAAAAGAGCCTCATTTTAGGATCATAAAATTCTATAACAATTTTTTTATAATTTTGTATTGATGGCCTATGCCATCGGTAAAATAATATTTTTACCACGTCATGGGCCTCTAGGATAGTCCCTTGTATTGCTAGGGAGCCCTAGAAAGACACAGCATTATCTCAACGACAAAATATTGAAAGTGAATTGAGTCTTAATTTTTAAACGCCCGTATCTCCGTAAATAACGGAGATAGGGCAAAAAGAGCCTAATTTTGGGATCATAAAAATCTATCCAATTTTTTTTTTAAATTTTCATATTGGAGGCCTTCGCCATCGGTAAAATAATATTTTTACCACGTAATAATCCTCTAGGATAGTCCCTTGTATTGCTAGGAAGCCCAAGAAAGTTACAGCATTATTAAAAAGACGAAATATTAAAAGTAAATTAAGTCCAAAACTTTAAACGCCCGTATCTCCGTAAATAATGGAGATAGGGCAAAAAGAGCCTCATTTTGGGATCATAAAATTCTATAAGAATTTTTTTTATAATTTCCGTATTGATGGCCTATGCCATCGGTAAAATAATATTTTTACCACGTCATGGGCCTCTAGGATAGTCCCTTGCATTGCTAGGGAGCCCTAGAAAGACACAGCATAATCAAAAAGAGGAAATATTGAAAGTAAATTAAGTCTAAAACTTTAAACGCCCGTATCTCCGTAAATAATGGAGATAGGGCAAAAAGAGCCTCATTTTGGGATCATAAAATTCTATAAGAATTTTTTTTATAATTTCCGTATTGATGGCCTATGCCATCGGTAAAATAATATTTTTACCACGTCATGGGCCTCTAGGATAGTCCCTTGCATTGCTAGGGAGCCCTAGAAAGACACAGCATAATCAAAAAGAGGAAATATTGAAAGTAAATTAAGTCTAAAACTTTAAACGCCCGTATCTCCGTAAATAATGGAGATAGGGCAAAAAGAGCCTCATTTTGGGATCATAAAATTCTATAAGAATTTTTTTTATAATTTCCGTATTGATGGCCTATGCCATCGGTAAAATAATATTTTTACCACGTCATGGGCCTCTAGGATAGTCCCTTGCATTGCTAGGGAGCCCTAGAAAGACACAGCATAATCAAAAAGAGGAAATATTGAAAGTAAATTAAGTCTAAAACTTTAAACGCCCGTATCTCCGTAAATAATGGAGATAGGGCAAAAAGAGCCTCATTTTGGGATCATAAAATTCTATAAGAATTTTTTTTATAATTTCCGTATTGATGGCCTATGCCATCGGTAAAATAATATTTTTACCACGTCATGGGCCTCTAGGATAGTCCCTTGCATTGCTAGGGAGCCCTAGAAAGACACAGCATAATCAAAAAGAGGAAATATTGAAAGTAAATTAAGTCTAAAACTTTAAACGCCCGTATCTCCGTAAATAATGGAGATAGGGCAAAAAGAGCCTCATTTTGGGATCATAAAATTCTATAAGAATTTTTTTTATAATTTCCGTATTGATGGCCTATGCCATCGGTAAAATAATATTTTTACCACGTCATGGGCCTCTAGGATAGTCCCTTGCATTGCTAGGGAGCCCTAGAAAGACACAGCATAATCAAAAAGAGGAAATATTGAAAGTAAATTAAGTCTAAAACTTTAAACGCCCGTATCTCCGTAAATAATGGAGATAGGGCAAAAAGAGCCTCATTTTGGGATCATAAAATTCTATAAGAATTTTTTTTATAATTTCCGTATTGATGGCCTATGCCATCGGTAAAATAATATTTTTACCACGTCATGGGCCTCTAGGATAGTCCCTTGCATTGCTAGGGAGCCCTAGAAAGACACAGCATAATCAAAAAGAGGAAATATTGAAAGTAAATTAAGTCTAAAACTTTAAACGCCCGTATCTCCGTAAATAATGGAGATAGGGCAAAAAGAGCCTCATTTTGGGATCATAAAATTCTATAAGAATTTTTTTTATAATTTCCGTATTGATGGCCTATGCCATCGGTAAAATAATATTTTTACCACGTCATGGGCCTCTAGGATAGTCCCTTGCATTGCTAGGGAGCCCTAGAAAGACACAGCATAATCAAAAAGAGGAAATATTGAAAGTAAATTAAGTCTAAAACTTTAAACGCCCGTATCTCCGTAAATAATGAAGATAGGGCAAAAAGAGCCTCATTTTGGGATCATAAAATTCTATAAGAATTTTTTTTATAATTTCCGTATTGATGGCCTTCGCCATCGGTAAAATAATATTTTTACCACGTAATAATCCTCTAGGATAGTCCCTTGTATTGCTAGGAAGCCCAAGAAAGTTACAGCATTATTAAAAAGACGAAATATTAAAAGTAAATTAAGTCCAAAACTTTAAACGCCCGTATCTCCGTAAATAATGGAGATAGGGCAAAAAGAGCCTTATTTTGGGATCATCGAAATCTATAAAAATTATTTTTATAATTTCCGTATTGTAGATCTTTGCCATTGGTAAAATTAGTACATTACGCCACTAGAGCGCAAAGTGTCACTTTGCGCCCGCGGGCGAACTTTGCGCCCTAGGGCCCAAAGTAGTCGAAGGGCGCAAAGTTTGCCCAAGGGTGCAAAGGCTTGCCCTCGAGTAGCGTATATTATTTTTCTTCTAAAGGGTGCAAAGTGAGGTTATCAACTCTACATGTTTAAAAAAAAAATTAATTAAAGTTTATAAACCTCAAATTAGTATGCAAGCATTGCCATATAAATGCGAACTACAGTAGATATATGTTGTAAGGCGTCGTACAGACGCAACGCTAACACTTTTTACAATCTATTTGAATACGCGAGTGCGAGAGAGAGAGGGCCAAAAGATGACGGATCGCTCACCCTCTCTCTCGCACCCGTGCAATCAAATAGATTAATGCGTGCAGATTGATATTGCCGTTGTGTCTGAACGCAGCCTAGGCTGCCGATATTGCTGCTTTGCGTTATGTCCATTGCCAAGAACCATGCTTTTTTTAGAGTTTATAATATAAAATTTACGATATGCCTGCCAATGTAGTGGTATGTATGTGTATACTGGCACTAGTAGTATTAAATGGTCTTCAGTCTCGACGGTAACAGAGTTACTAATATTCGATATTGAGTTGATATAATGCATACATTTTTTTTCAAATATAAGTGTGCTGACTTCAAAGATGGTAGCATTAAATTGCTGCTTTTAACTAAGAAGAATAAAGGTATGTTTCGTGAGACAGGTTGTGCGGGGTCCAGGGGGCGAAGCCCCCGGTCGGGGGGGGTACGTCTTCGCCCCCCCGACTACAAAACATAAATTGTTCGTTCTTAAAAAACAAAAATCTGTTTTCATTCTTCAACAATTGTATATAAATATGATTTCATCCAAATTTTACAGTTTAATTTCGAAAACTTATAGAATTTCGCCCCCTGACTACAAAACATAAATAGTTCGTTCTTAAAAAAAAAAAATCCTTTTCCTACGAGTT